ATTGATGCTTTTTCTTCTTCTTGATAAGCCTTTTGTTCAAGACTTTTTTTTTTTTTTAGTTTTATAAGGAAAACTAAGTTACCATGATATAGTGATATAAATTGTACCGAAAAAGTGCCGCTTTATTTTRTTTTTATTTAGTAGTAACAGGACCACCAGTGGCATGTTGTGAAACTAAAACCACCGTGCTCATGTCTGTATGCATTATGTATGCATACAGGAGGCCCTGTGCCACCTGTTAACATAGGCTTCCCAACATGTTTACTGCATATAGAGGAACGTGGAAACAGAACAATCTCTCTTGGTCCTAGTTACAGCTAACGGTTGCTCATCAGTTGGCTGGATGTAATTGTCCAGTAGAGTTGGTTTAGTATGGCTGGCAAGAATGGCAAGAGTTGTTTGTCTGAGTTCACTGCTTATTATATATAAAATTTATCATATTTAAAAGTAAATTTCATGTACTGTTAATGTTTCATCCCGTGGATTATAAGTTTAATTCCCTACCATAACTGTGAAACTTTTGGAGTGTGACTCAGACAGCAAGCACACACTATGCAATATGGTTTATCCTGTATTTATTTGTAAAAATATCAGACATAGATCCTCTCTATTATATATAATAGTGTCAAAGTTATTAGTCATGAACTAAGGGGAGTAGAGTTCTAGCTCCTTTCTGGCTATTTCAGATAAGTGCAGAATGCATTGAATATTGGAGAGCTTAACAAGTGCTTTCTTTTGTTCATTTAAAAATGTCTTAAATTTTTCATTAGAGTATAGAATCTTATTTTTTTTATTTTGTACAAGCTGCGCTTTTTTAATTATAATCACTGAAAAATTCACTATAATTTGATTTTATAGGATTTTTGTAGTGTTACAAAAATACAGTAAAACTGAGGTTAATACCTACTGTGGCTAACCATATAAAAGTATTAAATCTTAAACTTGAACAAAAGTCATATTTTTTTTTTTAACTAGATATTAAATAGGGGAATGTTTTGTTCTGCAGGTCATTATCACAGGAGGCTTACAGGTCAGTTGTGTTACCAGCAGTTTTTCTTTTCCCATCTGATGCAGAAAATATTCCGGTATAAGATACTCAGAATTTCATCATTTTTCTCTGTGGGAGTGATGCATACATTTGATGCCATTCGTGTACGAAATTGTAATTTTGGGAATGCTGGAATAATTCCTACCAAGACTGTCTTAATTGTGCCATCTGACATTTGAATGTCATCCTGGTATTAGCTCATAATAAAAGATAAAAATGAGTCAACTGTTCTTTTGAATATCCCTTTTTTCTTTTGTCTTGCTATCCAAAAGCTGAGCTGCTGGAAAACATGTAATATTTATGTCCACTCTAACTATGCAGCGGATGATTACTTAGAGTCTGTTATCTTTTTAATATTAGCTCCCAAACTGCTTGCAGTTTTAACTGAAAAGTGCAGCAGAGAGGGAGGGAGTCTACACTTGTTTTGAGGGCAGTTGCTTG